AACAGACATAGAAAATGACAGGAAAAATAGGTATCAATAGGACAGAATAAAGTGCTGATGAGGAGTGTATCCTGTCATCTCCCCATAAAAACCATCTTCCTCCAAACTGCTGCTTTGCTCTTCTTTTTATGCCTGGTTTATTACCCTCCTCATGCTTTGCTCCTCCCATTCTGCTCCCTGGATGATCCTGTCTCTGCTGCCACACTATATTTTGCGCTGCTATTCTGCAAGCCCTTCTTGCCTCTGAGCTGTAAGCCACTTCCTCCTTTCCCTGTATTATTTTAATTCCTCAAAATTCCACCATTAGCACTTCCAAGCCCATTACATTTCCATTCTTTCCACAAGTTTTCCTCTTTCTCTCTATATAGAAAGATCTTCTTTTGAGAACCACAAACATGCCTCTTCCCAACCTCTTTTCTTCACCAAGACACATATTCCTTCCCATTTTTACATGACTGCTATACAAGCTTTTGTGTAAACCATTCCAGCTTCAGTTCTTCCATCCTAAAATTACCTTATTATTCATTTCCTGAATACTTCACTGTCCTACCCAACCATCTCGCTCATACCTCTTCTTCCTCAGCTTTCTTTAAGTCTTCTGCAGGTGCAAGGCCAGGGAGGACATTTAGTAGCTCATATTGAGAAGCATCCACTTCATCAGTCTCAAAAGGATGCTGACAAAGGCTGCTCAAACAATAAGTGAGTCACTGTTTCTGTGCCTCCATTTTATCCCTACCAACTTTAGGACAGTGTATTTAACAAACAAGCCACCACACCAGGACATTTGCTCTTCTGACACCAACAGCGAGCCATAAGGCACAATCATAAGTAGGCATTACAGTGGTAATATCAGCTCAACACAGCATTTGGCAGCCCTTTCCTTTTGGTTTAGAAACCACGTTAAGTTCTAATAGTGTTGAATGTTTCATGTGTTTTGTTTGATCTCCTTACAGGCAAACTGTAAACTTTGTGCTTCAACAAACCACACTAAATGGGTTACTAAAACTCATTTCTACTTAAACTTACACCACATTGCTACAGTAATTACAAAGGAACTTGCACAAATTGAGTAGATTTCATGGCAGGACCAAGATAAGCAAAAAGATACCAACAAGATGAGGCAGCATGCTAAGATAAACTATGAAGGATGTTTGGAGGGCTTGCCGTCTACATTCAAAAGAAACAGGATTCACAACACCAAAAATGGTACAAATAATCCTAATTCAGGGGCTTAAAACAGACTACTTCTTTCTACTCATCTAATAGCATTCATAACTTGTTTCCATTCAACAAAGAGGTTTAATCCAGCTGTGCTCTGTGTGTGTACAAATACAGGTATTACCTGTTTGAAGTGATGGAGCACAACCTGGTGCCCAAAGCACCTAACACTAGCAATTACTGGTCAAAACCCAGGATGGTTTTTGGATTTGCATATAAATTGAAATAGGATCAATAATTTCAGGCCTACAGCTACTGCAGGGAAAGTTTGCTGCACTGCAAGAAGAATTTTCTTATCATGCCACAGATGCAACACATTGAATTTGCCAATCCATTATACCCTTCTTTTGCCTGCAGTTCTGAGATGCCACGTTTACAATCAGTCAGGGTCAAGATGAAGCATAACTGTGTCTCTGAGGATGGAAGATCAGTCTGTGGGCTGCATTCCCAGTAAGGTCACTATAGTAAATTCACATCAAGGTGGTGGGTGAGAAACAGGGCTACTGTACCTCAATTCCAACACTGCCTAAGGCCAAAATAGTACAGATCAGGAGGCAAGAAGGATTTAGTAACACTGGACACATATCTCAACCCAAGAAAAATAACTTGGCACCATCTAGGTTTACCTAGCTTTGGACAGTGCTCTTCTTGCTAATGATTTCTGGTGACATGCCAGTGATATCAGTCACAAGGACCATGTTTCAAGGGGAAATCAATTCTTCTCTAATCTCTGCTGCTGGAGGCTGCATCTTCCCTCAGTCCCCATCTTGCTGCTCCCTGCTGTTCTGATCTCTCCCCAGCCACAAGCTCTTCCAGATTCTCTGATTCAGAGTACCAATGCTGATGGAAGAGTATCTCCCTGGGGAGAAGAGCCAGCTCCCAGTTTGGAAACAGCTAATTTTCAGATGTCCTTCTTTTTCCCACAGGAGGAAGAGGCATCCATTCTGCCCATTCTCTTCCATCCCAGAATAACAGTGTTTTTTTTTCCTGTGTCAGAAATAAGCATTAATAAATAATCAAATTAATCCTTGTCCTAGCTGAACCTTCTTGCAAAACACAGCAAACTGCTGCCTCTCCGGTAGTCAAAGCAATGGCAGACTTGTATTTCAATACTGTAAATGGGAACTCTCCTATAGGGTTTTTTGTGTGTTGAAGGGTTTTTTGTTAAAAAAAAAAAAACAACAACCTGGAGGTTTAGGAATAAATGTAACATCTTTTTGGACTTCTATTTTCAAAGCCAGCTTTTCCACAGATGCCCACCTGAGTGCCAGAGTTCACAATTAGAACAGTGCTTGAAGTCAGAAACATCTCTTCGGAGAAAATCACTTCCAAGTTGCTGTTGCACTTGGATATACGGTTTATATTTAATTCTTCTTCTGTTTTCCTTCTTTTTCCATTTAAGTGATTCTCCAGTTTTCCCTGTCCTTCTGCCACCCCTTCTCAGGCAAACTGTGCTCATAAATGAACATCCCAAAGATCCTAATGTAAGCCCCTGCACTAAGCCTTCCTTCAAAACTGCAGGACTCCTCCCACATCAAATGATTACAGCCAAGGCTTCTTTGTCCCACTCAACTCAAAACCACAAGTATGAGGAACTACAGGTAAGCCAACACCACTCCTGCCTCTAATGCACCCCCTTACAAAACATCTGGAAGGTATTGCATAGCACCAGCCAGCTCAAGCCTAGAGAGGAAACATCGTTCTCACAGGTCCCAAAGGGCTTGCTTTCTGTGCTGGGTCTGTGAGAGTAACAAAGGAAGAACAAAGAGAGAGAAAAGAAAAAGCGGACAAAATCCCCCCATCTCTCACCATGTCTTCACCTCATCTCCTCACCTCACACATTGGCTTTCTCAGGTTTGGAAGAAAGGGTCTTGCTGTTGGTAAACAAAGGCACTGAGGCAGCTTGATGATGTGCTGCCTTTCCCTTCAGCATAGCTTTGGCACAAGAAATGCTCCTCACCAAACAAGGGGTCAGGGAAAAACATCCAAGTGTTGCCTGTGCTGGGCTGGACAGACTTGAAGAGGTGACAAACATTTCCTTCATCTCCCAAACCCTCTCCTATTTACCGGGCCTTTGCAGGAAAAGGGGTCTCTGGCACAGCTGGCCCATGTTAGGGCACAGCTGGATGGAATCCATGGGGTGATGTCTGGTAGCGATGGGCCAGGAGGGAAACACCCAGCATATGGTGTGTGAAAAGAGGCAGAAGAGTGAATAAAAGGAGCAGATTTGAAGCAGAAAGGCAGGAAACTTAGAAATCCTTGAGGGCACAGTTAATTTGCAGAGTAGAAACATATTGTAAAGAGGAAATATGTCTTTAGTCATAATTAAATACATAGTCATGTATATACCTAAAAGCATGTATTAACAATTTCCAAAACAAGACAAAACATTCCCCATGCTTCCTGCTTTTGCTTGGCTTGGGTGACCCTACCATGTTGTTCCTTGTCTCCCTGAATCCCACAGTGAGGTACTGGGGGCTGGTGTATTTGGGTACTTCTGTCGCCTCCAGAGGAAAAGCTGTAGAGCTGGGGAAGTTCTGTGCAAGGCATCTGGACATGCTGAAAGCCAGTGCATGGGAATGCTTGCCTGGAAAGCTGGAATGTGTCCCTGCAGCACGGCACACAAGAAAGATGCCATCACAGGTGAAACAGAATGTTCTTCTGTGCCCTCCTGACCAGCACTGGGGTCTCCAATGACATCCTCCCCATCAATAATGTCAACTCAAGCAGCTCCTGTGGCACCCCCAGGTCCTCTTCACCTTTCCCCTTATCCCACCTCCCATGTTCCCATACTGATCCTGACAGCCCTGGGCAATCTCACAGTTAAATTAGACCCCATTCCCAGCACCCACAGAACAGGCTTTCAGGTAAATCCACCTCCTTCCCTCCAAGCTAAAGCTTCCCACACAGCTTTGCAAGTCTTCATGCCAACAGTTAGTTTCTTTCCTCCTTGGAAATGTTCCATTCCCCTGATTTCTAGCCCACTCAAAGGGCTTTTGGACCAAATCACCTCTTCCAGGTTCCAGCCAGCACGTTGCAGTTAGTGACTCCATGCCTCTCATCTGCCAGTCTTCAGCCTGTGTCGGCAAACCGAGCACCCCTCCTTTATGTGGGAGCATTTTGCATGACAGCACTTTCCATACCAACTCCATAGCACCAGGCAGAGTTGACCCAGTGTACTGCAATGGACTTCCTACAGCATCCCACAGGAGTAGGGTGATTTCCAGCAGAAAATCAGCTATCTCCAAAGAACATGATATACTAACCTGCCCATGTCACAGCTTATACTTACCTTTCGTTCCTCTGCCTCTCTAAAACTGGTTGGGTTCAGGCTATACCAAATACTGTCTGAAAAACACTCCTGCTAGTATTTGTTCTATGATAAAGCAGTTTATTAACACCACAAGGAAACCCATTTCAATACCTGTTTCAGATTCTACTTGGCAGGTTCAAAAAGGTTGCTCGCGTACAACAGTTGGGAAACATTTAAACAGCCAAGATTTAGACTTGCCAGTACTCCTGGGAAGGAGTCGGAGCAGACCGGAAGGGCAGGAATTTTGTGGGAGTTAAGGTCACAAATGCCACCACACTTGTATTGAAAACTTTGAAATAGGAGAGGGAGACAGCTGAGGGCTCTAGGACAGGATCACAGCCTGTAGGCGCTGGCAGGATTTCACAGGGCTTGAAGAGTGAAAGAGGTGTGTGGGGGGGAACAGTTGAGACAGAATCATTTCAGCACAGGCAATAGGAACTGCAAATGAAAGACGATGGGAACTGAAAGGAATGATTAAGAGCTCCAATATTTTATTGGCGAGCTCAACATCTGGTTGAACAACATGTATTTGAAGCTTGACATCCGGCAGGTCTTGTATGCAAACCACGACAGCACCTCAGCAAAGTCAAAGGGCTGAAGGAAAAGCCATTTGAAAGCTACAGGCTCCCAGGAGCAGGGCAGAGAGCAGTATGCAAGCAGGTTAGCTGGGAGGAAGGGGAGGGGGGTGGAGGAGAGCGGGGGCTATACAGCTCTAAGACATCTGCCTTCCCTAGCTCCAATTAACCAGCTAATTTCCCCAGGCACTCTCTATGGAAACAAGCTTCTCCAGAGAGTGATTCACTGCACAATGTTACACTGCTGCTCTGCAGCGTTCCCCTGAATTTATTCTTCATTCCGTAGAGGAATACTGCTCTCGCCACCGATGCAGAGTGCACCCTGGGAAACGTGGTGGCTAATTTTGATGCCTGCAGATGGGGAGTGTAAGTCCTTTGCTCTCCCTCCCTAGCTACCTGTTGTGAATTAGTGTGTAAATAAGTGGTGTTCACCCCGTATTTGCAACTGAAGAGTTTGTCAAGAAACAGCTCCTCTTGTGCTGTTATACATAGCAGATATACACACAGCAGATAACTAAATTCATTCCAATCCCAGACTGGAATGAAATGGGATTGGAGATTCCAATCCCATTTTACCACAAACCCACATTTTCCCCTTCCTACAGCATCAGATCTACCCAGGCAATGTCCATCACATTGATAAAGAAGTCCCTGTGAATGCTCGGTAAGTGTCCATTTGGGTAGGCAAGTGCATGAACTGCCTGCACAGACCTGCTGCCAAACCACACATTTCAACCCATTGAAGTCAATAGAAAGGTTTTCACTGATTTAAACAAAGGAGTAGCTTTAAACGAATTTCACATGCTGAATCCATTCACATATCAAGTTCCAGTTGCTCCTAAATCTGACTGATAGGGGAAAATAACACGGAGTCTCTCACCTTCTCTAAGTAACTGAACTGTAGTCAGCTTCTGAATGAACACTATTTACCCAAAGGAAAACTTTCTTCCCCATCAATATTGACTGGCTGTAATTCTGTAGCCATTCACAACATCTATGTGCCCTAATTTAAAATTGCCCAAGTAACAACATGAGAGAGAAATAGTGGTTCTGTGTCTGAAAGAACAACTGCACAGGCTGAAGCCTGCTGCTATATGAATATAGCACCAACAGATGAAATTAGAAAGCAAAAGGCAAACAAAGGAACTGTTAAGAGTTCTGTGCACTGTTTAGGCTTCTCCTAAAACTAAAATGCTTCTTTAGGGAAGTGATAATGTCTTCATATGTCACCTTGGGACTACTATAAAACGCCTCACAGGTGTCATATGCCATAACCTGTCCTGGGTCTCACTGGGGCAATTTTCTTCCTAGTAGCTGGTATGGATTTGTGTTTTGGATTTGTGCTGGACACGTCATTGATAACCCAGGGATGTTTTGGTTATTGCTGAGCAGCACGTACACACACTTTCTGCTTCTCACACACCCCACCAAGTGAGTGGGCGCGGGGTACACAAGGAGTTGGGAGGGGACACAGCTGGGTCAGCTGATCCCAACTGACCCAAGGGATATCCCAGACCATAAGATATCACACTTAGCAATAAAAGGTGCAGGAAAAAGAAGGAAGAGGTGGATGTTTGGGGTGATGGTGTTCTGTCTTCCCAAGTAACTATTACATGTGACAAAGCCCTGCTCTCCTGGAGATGGCCAAGCACCTGGTGACCATAGGAAGGGATGAATCAATACCTTGTTTTGCTTTGCTGGTGTGCACACCTTTTGCTTTGCTTATTAGACTGCCTTCATGCCAACCCACAAGTTTTCTCACTTTTGCCCTTCTGATTATCTCCTCCGTTCCACCAGGGGAGAGTGCAAATGGCTGTGTGGGGCTTAGTTGCCAGCTAGGGTTAAGCCACAACATAACTGCATGGCTATATTTGCAAATCACTCCATTTTCTATAGTCCTATTCTAATTTTATCACTATTTCTAAGTAATTTCACTGTTTCCAGGAGCGCAGTAGTTATTTTTTTCCTTGAGAGTTGGATGTATATTATTTTTTGCAGTCATCCACTCACATGCTGACTTAGATACAGAACACAAATGAAGGACAGTAATCTGCTGCTTCCAGAAAAGTATTTAAATTCAGTAGAAAGCAGCCATGTGATGCATTAGTTTAATGTACTGTTCTCATTTCTGCACTGTTCTCATTTCTGCTGGGAAAAGATTTCTATGTTGGCACAGGGCACCACTGAAATTGAGTGAACTCAACATGGCATCTATTAAGAGACAAGGTATTTCTTCTGTTCTGGTTTGATTCTATTTGAAGGTAAATGATTTCCACTGTGAAAAAAAAACAACACCCAAACAACAAAAACACCAACAAACCCCCCTAAATAGGCAAAACAACTAACTAGAGCAAATACATAGAACAATGTGGGGTATCTGGAAGAAAAGGTTGGGACTGTGGTGGCCCAAGTTCTGCAGATCAGGTAAAGAGGTGGAAAACTCACCTAGAACATCATTCTAGCTAATACTTCTTTCTAGGTAATACTACTAAATGAGACATACCTCATTGTAAGACATGTCAGGGGGGAGATGAGAACTCATGAGGGAAAATCATATCTAGTGTTTGCAGTCCTCCAGTATATGCTCTCAGGGACATTTCCAGCCAAGTCACAGGAAAGCTTGTTGCTGCTAGGTTCCTACCTGCCTGGAAGGACAGCAATGCACTGAAGCAAGGTAACGTTGCTTTGTGTTGGCACAAACCAGAAGGCACAGGGTACAGCCCAGACTCTCCAGCCCACCCAGAGAGCCTAGGAATCACAGCTAGGCAAAAAGAAGGTAATGAAACAGAAATAGCAACTGCCTGATGGCAACAGTGAGCTCTCGCCCTACAGCTTTCCCTTCTGTCATGTTCCTCCTTCCCTAAGCGCAGTCTCAGGAACGGATTCTCTCTGGCTGTTCACAGTGCTGCTGGATCTCCTCGGCAAGGTCAAGACACCGCAAAATTCGCCACTTCTCAGCAGCCAGCTCCTCCTTGGATACCTGGCCCAGCAGTTTTTTGGCAAAAAGGTTCTGATCCTGCATAAAAAGGCCCACAGCAGACCTCGGGGCTTGAGGGAAGTTCTCCAGGCAACCACTTGTGAAACAGAAGTTGATTTTCTTTTCACGTCTCATCCCTGGTCCCCTTTCTTCAATCCAAGTCAGAGGTCTAGTGTGGAGGAACAAAGAAAGAGTATTTATGAAGAAACAGTCAACAGTTCTAGTTGCAGAAAATGCCCTAATAAATGCACCATTTCAATCACTGTATATTCAGGTAACATTTTCTGACCAACATGCCTAGTCACTGCAGAGATGAATACCAGGTAACAGTCTTTTAACTCTGCCACTGCTTCATGCCATGACTTTCAGCACACCATCTGAGCTCTCTCTACAGCTTTGATGTCCCCCTGCACAAAGTGAAGCCAGCAATGTCTAGCCATCTCACAGCAATGAGGGAAATTTAATCTGCTTGTTTGTGGACTTGGATGAAAAGTGCAGCTAAACATCCAAATATTTTGTGAGTGATCCAATCACAGCTAAATTCACAAGGCCCTCAGTGTCCAGTTATTCCTCCTGCAAGAATAAATTTAGGTGAACCAGCTGCTTCCATGCAAGCTGAACACCACCCCTTTACAATGAGCTCAACAGATGGCAAGTTCACCCATGCACACACTAGCATCCACGCTCTCCAAGCTTTTCAAATACTTTTCTTTCTCTTCTCTGGGAGCACCAAGTTGATCCTAGAGATTACACCACAAAATGTCAATTTTACCTGTTTCAGCTACATTGACTCTCAAGCAGGTCTTAATCAAAGTCAATCTCAAGTCAACGTGAGACACAGTCCGCAGGCCAAGCACTGTTGGTGTTGGCTATTGACTGGCATAGCTCACAGGTCCTTGCAATTTCCTCCCCAACTTCCTAGTTTGACTGAGGAGAGAGGAACCATGGCACATGCTCCATCATTTCAGGGGACTTAAACTGCGAACGCATACAGAGGCTTTGAGGAATGGTCCTCAACACAAGCCACAGCCACGATCCTCCCTTCCTGCTCTTTTGTCAACTGCCCAAAACATGCCATTACCTTTCTGCAGCTCATTCATCAGCACTCACTACTGCCTGTGTTTACAGGATGCACGTTATTTTTCTTATTTGGTTATTGATGGCCCTTCCACAGTCCTTTATGACCCATTTTAGTCTGCCACTCACAAATTATGAGGCCATCAATAGCATGGAAGAATTAACTCTGTCTTCAAGTAGTGCCCATTAAACCCTCAATATCATCAGATCTAAAAAGAAAGTCCTTGTCAATCTACCCTGAATGCTTTCTGCAGAGCGCTCAGCTTAATGATTCAGCACCTCATCTTTTATGCTTTAGGATCCAGTTTTTACATTCACATCATTGTATCAATTATTCTTCACAAATTAAGCATGGCCAGATGAACCTGACTGGATAGAATAACACAGCTGGAGAAAAAAAAAGACTATATCACAGCTTGCAAAGTGCACAGGAAAAAATCCTCAGAGGATAATAAATGGAAAGACATCTCATGTTTCAGGAAGTCTCAAGGCTACATGTCATTGCAGGCCAGAAGGGTGCTTGAGGACCATATCACTCGGCGTTTTCTATGTCCTCATCCTCCTTCCCCAAGGAGCTGGACGTTGACCTCAGTCAGAGGCAGGCTGTTGAGCAAGCCGGGTTTTGCTCCAACTCAACAGAGCCAGCTCTATGTTCTTACGATAGCAAACAGCTACAGAGGATTCAGGCCACTGTTATTCAAAGCTGCTTTATCTCAGGTAGACAGGTATGAAGAAACCACTGGGCACAAAGATCTCCACCATGATATGATCCAAAACAGGCAGTGTCAAAGCCTCCCTGGGATGACCTAGTGCACACACACAGCAGTGATCAGGCTCAAGCGTATGCTCCTTCTGCTCTAGCTTGGGGAAGCCACTGAACCAGAAGCACAATCATGCAGAGAGGGCAGAATTTAATCAAAGTGATTAAAATGACTGATTTAGATCAGTGGGCAGGAAAATGCTGGGTTTAGAAATAGATCCATCTTCTTCTGCAATCAGATTTTTAGTTATTTTCCCAAAGACAGGTCCACTTTACTTGACTGGTAACCAGAACTTATTAATTTTTTAATTAACAACAACTTCTACACTAAAATTAATCCCTCTTCTGCCATAAAAATACGCATGCTGCAAGTCTCACATGATTTAAGCAACTTTGTAGCTCAAGAAACAGGTTTGTATTTTATGTCAGAAAACTGTGACGGGCTGCTGCTTTTCAAAAAATAACTTCCCCATGTTCATTAAAGATTTGTACGAAGTATAATGGAGCAAGTTAGTTATTTAGAAATGTTATAGAATCATAGAATCGTTAGGGTTGGAAAAGACCTTACCATCATCCAGTTCCAACCCCCCTGCCATGGGCAGGGACACCTCACGCTAAATCTTATTACCCAAGGCCTCATCCAACCTGGTCTTGAACACTGCCAGAGATGGAGCATTCACAACCTCCCTGTGCAACCCATTCCAGTGCCTCACCACCCTAACAGGAAAGAATTTCCTTCTTATATCCAACCTAAACTTCCCCTGTTTAAGTTTTAACCCGTTACCCCTTGTCCTGTCACTACAGTCCCTAATGAAGAGTCCGTCCCCAACATCCCTATAGGCCCCCTTCAGATACTGGAAGGCTGCTATGAGGTCTATGTTACTTAGAAGAAACAAATCCAGCATTTTTGGAAACTGAATAAAGCCACATAAAGCATGTTGGACAGTTAAAGACGACAAAGAAAGTTTAACCAAACAGTAACAAACCACTTTTACACTAACTTCTTAAAAGCAAGCACCATCTGCAGTGAAGAAACCATCCTGACTTGCTGTGGTTTTCCTGTCTTTCCAGATTGCTGACTGGTAGAGCTCTCCTAGCTGTATTTTACTCAGTGATTGGAAGAGGCTTTCTGCTCTTCTGATTCTCTTGTTTCCTCAAATAATGAGTGGCTCTAGTTGGACTCAATAAACCAAAATGGGGCAAGCAATCTTTGTACTTGCAGAAGAATTAGCTGGTTTCATGCCTGAAAGAATTCTGCTCAGCTTAATATTTTATGTAGCAACATCTGCAGAAAGCAGTTATTACATGCTTTTTTATGGATGTTCAATTTGAAGCTATTTGATTAGACTTTGTAAGCTTAGATCTCAATAAAAACATCATTTCAAATGCTTATTGTCAGATTATGTGTTCAGAAAATGTTTTAAAGTAATTAAGACATTTTCCTTCTCACTCTTTGAGAATGTCAATAATTTTTATTTACCATGCAATCAAAAGGAGCTACCTTACCTTGGATGGGAATTAGACAATTAGACCCTACCCCTAGTTAACATTAAAAGAGACATTGCCCAAATCATTCTCTCTCCAGCTTGCACTAAAAATTCATTTCTGACATTCACTGAATCCAAGCTCCATAATCGTGGGACAGGAACTGCAGTCCCAAACCAGCCATGCTGTCAGTGGAGGTTTGGCTTTTCTTGGATTGCTCAATGTTTTATCACAGAGAGGCTGTCAGCTCAACTCTCTCGGAAACAGAACAGAGGCAGAGGTCATCTCTCAGATAGCTGGGTGTCAGGCGTTAACACGCACCTCCAAAATCCACCCGGAGACAGATGAGCAGCCAGCGCGGGCTCTGCAGCAGAGGCAGGCTATAGCCTTTGCACAAATCCCTGCTTAACAAGCAGAACACAGGCTCCTGCAGTCTGCACCTGCTGTATTTTCCAAGGTAAAAAATAGGCTGAATTAACCTGATTTCTCAGGGTTAGTGCATTCCTGCCTTTTGAAAACGGACGAGAGAGCTCTGAGGGAAGGTGCTGACCTGTCCCGTCCTTCAGCACCATAACGGTTGGGCAAATTAGAGCTGTAACACCACCACCGTTACTGCTGGGCCATAACTTCATTTGATAGAGAGTGGGCCAAATTCTCTACTGCTGCAACTCCATTGACGTCAATGGGGGAAGGTCAGCAGGAAATAACGGCCCTGCCACAGAACAGAATACAGGAACGCTATGTAACTTTCCAGCCAGCGTAAATTATCCCACAGGCATAAAGCTGACTGCCCCCGAGGTCATTAAAACGCTCATGGTGACAAAACACACACTGACCCATACCAACAGTAGTGGGTATCAGTGTAGAGTGGTAGAGAGCAGGGAAAAAACAGTAATGTAGAAATAGGTTTGTATGTAGCAAATATTTATGTCAGCTAAGGACTACTAGGAGACGGGACAGCCAGGGAAATGTTTAAACCACCCGCTAGTTCCACCTGCTGGAATTAGTTCAAATCTCACTCTATAGATCTTTGCAGCTACTTCAATTACTGGCAAGTTGCTAGGAGGGTAAACAGAGCTTTTATATGGAGTTCTGTCCTCTCAGAACTGCGTTTTCAAAGGCATTGGAAATGATGTTTTCTTTAAAAAGAGAGGAAGATTGGTAAGACAAGATGCAAATCCCACAATAAACTGCAGTGGGCTTTGTAGGACTGGCTGGTAAAATGCTTAATTAGAGCCATGGTGAAACCAACAGTTCAGGTGAGCCCTGATTATTCACTCCACACATAGCTGGTCCTTCAGGTTATTAATTTCTAACTAAAAGCTTTCATAAAATTCCTAAAGAAGCAAGCATTATGTTTGGTGGATTTTCTTTTTTGTTGTTGTGGTTGCTTCTTTTTGGGGTGGGTTTGTTGCTTTGGGGGGTTTGTTCTTTGTTTTGAGTTTTTTTGTTGTTTTAAGTGTTCTAGCAGTGTATGTGCAGTACAAAGGGTACTTTATTACACAGACAGGCCAGAACATTTTCCCATATAGTCTCATTTTCCCTTGCTCTCCTTAGTCTTCTCCTATGACTTTTCTCATATGCCTATGAAGAGGTCATCTCTCTCAAAGGCACAGCATGCTATATGGAAAAACAGGAAAGCAGGAGGGAAGGGAACGGAATAAACTGTTCCGTCACCATTCCTACCTCCTAGGAAATGTATAGACCTTGGGTAACTTCTCTGTACATTTTCATGTCCGACGATTACCCAGTTGCACCTATAGCATGCAGTAAACTGCCATCGTAAGTAACTTCAACCTATCTGAGGGACATGACTTTCAGGCAGATGGCCCAGAATGACAAAACCTGGGAGTTTCCAGTGAAACACTACACCACCAGACTTCAGACCAAGTTCAGTACTCAATCCACAGTATAAAACACTGGTGACTTACTTCATGGGCACATAGTATTTAAAAATACACTATTTTGTAGCATTAAAGATATACTATTTGATAACAAGGCTATTGTTATCAGATAAAAGGAAGGTCAAACATTATTATAAAATGCATCATCAAAAGAGTTTTCTGCAAGAAAGTCATAGTGCAATGGCTGCAAAAAATGGCAAGTAATCCTGGCTGCTGGATTCTCACCCATGCAACGAAAGACAAAAAAAGAAGAAAAGCAAAAAGACAACAAAGGGAAACAGATTGTTGTCCTACTCAGGAAGTATCGAAGAAACTTCAGTACCGCAGATTAGGCATTAGGCAAAAGCAAACCTGGCGTGTTGGCATGTCAGTAGTTTATTATACCTCTGCTCAAAATGTATAATTTTCAATTAACTTCCAGCTAGTACTACCTACGAGCACAGCATTACAGTGCTGTAAGTTAAGTATCACAAGCAGTGCACCACCTTTTCAAACAGCTGGAGTTTTTCAGCCTTTAAAGAAACATTAGCTTTACAGCTAGAATGTCTGATGCCTAACTTTCAGGCCTGTTTGTCTTGTACACTTTTATGCTGACATCTACCCATTCCATTTCCACAGGCGGAAGAGAGGATGCAGATCTCCTGCAGATGACACCCGAGGAGCCTGGCTGCCATGCCCATTTACTTACTTCTTGTTTGCTGTCTGAAAGTGAACAGTCATTCTGGAATAATTCTTATCCTTCTGCTTTTCTCTGGTGGCAGAGGTAACAGTGAGGTCTCCAAAGAGGTCAATCAGCCAAGTCAGTCGGGCAATTCCACTGAAAGCTGGGAATCCTGTTTTGTTTTCATCGAGGACACTACCTGGCAACACAGCAACAGAAAATCTTGAGAAATGGGAAAGAGAATAATGCCCTCTACATAGGAAAGGATGAAGAAACTGCAGTGTTGCAGGCTTAGAGACCAGGGTGTAGAAAGGCCATGAGTGGAGGGACTGAGCAGGAAAGTCAACAAACACGGTCAACCTTGTAATCACTTGGTAAGGTATGAGATAAGGCTGCAAAAAGTACATACACAACAAACTTTTCAGGATACGCTGTAGACAAGAAGTTACATTCAACTGTTGGATTCAACAAGGGAATAAAATAGGGAGAAAACAACAGCTTGAAAGCCTCTCCCAACTCTTCCAGGGGCAAACACCAGTAGTGAAAACAAAGTCCCCAGTAGAAATTGGGACACATTCTCTTCTCTGAGACAAATATGAATGAGAAATGGTGGTCACTACCACCAACGTACAGAAGGGGTGAGGAAGTATCCTCTCCTCCATACAACAAGGCATGGGCTTGCATTCTTCACCAAACAGCAGAAAGAGATTAGCAAAGCAACAGTCCACAGAAGACAACTGTTAAAGCAAAGGTGCAGACAGCTCTGCAATGAATTTCATGGGAATATCCAGAACTGATACCTGTGTCTCTAGTCAGTTATAGGGATTCTCATCTAAAAGGACTGAATGAAGCCTAGAAGGACTGGCATCCCTGTGGAGCAGTCAGACAAATCCAGATGGACTTCAATTCCCTCACAGGTACTGACCTGTGAAATGCAATGTTCCCTTCACCAGGTCTTTCCCGGCCACCTCTTTTTTCAGCTGCTTGTACTCTTCAGTCAGAAGTTCAATGTGCTCCACATGAAGTACTTTATCTGCCATTCAGGACAAAACCAACCATCAAACAAACAAAAAACCCACCAAAAATCAGGACAGACCAAATAAAAGAGTTCTGAATGAATCAAAGGCACGTCTAAGCAATAAAGGCTTCACCAGCCACCCATGGGAACTCACTTATAAATGTTCTCATGCATGGCTGGTAGAAAGATGTCAGAAAGAAAATCAGACAAGGGCCCTGCTCTGAGACATCAATCTGGGTTAAGGATTTTTCAGGAGACAACAAATATAGAGACTACAGGAACAGTAGCCACTATGTTTAACAGAAACTCTGTAATGAAACCCAATACCCAACTAAAGCTGAAACATGAGTCTTCAAAGCAAAAAGCAGATTAATCCTTGGCCTCTTTCCCCTCACATTTCCTTGTTCCACATTTCTTTCCTACTACCCTGTGAGGAAAAAAAATGGAGTAAAACAATTATACCACTCAGACCCAGACTGTAACGGTATGTTAAAGATAACCTCCCTCCACTGCAATTAATCGGACTACTTTGGAATAGAGGCTGTCCGATACACACTGGATGTGGCCCTCATTCAGTATGTGTGTTTCTGGAAGGTTTCCAGGAGAGACAATTTAGGCTGCTGACAGTAACTGCTGCTGCTTCAAGAGAAAAGGCATAAATTCTGCTCAATGGGAAGCTATTTGGCGAGCAAGAAGGCAGTTAAGTGGTGATGGCACAAGGAAACAACAAAGCAGAAATCCTGTACCTCTGGTGTTATAGGACAAAAGTCACAAAGGAGATTTTTAAGAAGTAGTGGTTCAAATAGTGCAGCTTGTCCAAAGGGTTTGAACTGTGCTCCTGCCCAGCACTGTTCTTTTCCTTGCAGCCCCATACATCCCTATTGGTCTCAGCTGAACTGCCAGCTCCTGACCCCTGGCACTGCAGGGATGGGACCACGCACTTTCCAGAAATAAAGAGATTTTGTCTTTCAGACAGGGATGTCTTGCTGGCCTACTATAGCATGAACAGCTGTGTGTGACCAGCACATCACAAATACTAGAAGTTAGGGGAGCTGTTTCCAGTTTATTTTCAGGGAGAGAGAACAGCAAAGGGCACAAGTCAAATGGCTACACTAATTAAGTGCTTTACTATCAGTGTGACAGATGTTTTCTTCTCTAACTGCATTCTTAGCATCACAAGCAGAGACCATTGCTTTTGTGAGGGCAAATGTACCTTACTCTTTGCGATGACATCTGTGTGTTTGTTTTCCCATTACACACAACTTAAATCCCAGATTGACACATCTCTGAGACAAGCATACTCCCTTGTATGTTATGACTAAGAGTAGATTGGAGCCCTGTGAGTCTGATGCCTTTGGTGCTACCCAACAGCTAATACTGCTTACACCCTTGAGAACATACGCGTTACCTTTCTGCTCAGCCATCTCACAGAGCTCATGGGCCGCCTTAGCAGACAAAGCCATGGGATACTCAACAAGGACATGTTTCCCAGCTTCTAGAAACATTCTGAAAGGGATACAAGATCAGTCTTTAAAAAGAATATCATCATAATCCTCTCTCCGCACTGTGCAAGCTGCTTCTCATTCCCACCGTCAGCCCCCCGCGGAGAAAAGAACAATGCAGAGTAACAGAAACCCACTGCAAGTTTCCTAGCAAGGACTGTGTGTGGCTGCATCACACATTTAAACACAGGGAGAGCTGGCTTTTAATTCTTTTTCCATAGAATCCTCTCACTCACCTAGAGCGAGTCACTAAAACGCCACAGCGTTGAGCACTGCCATTTCTAACTTCCAGACACTTGAGTGGCTGGAGTGGGGCACCAGAGTGCCTTTTGTCTATATAATCTGTGAAGAAAGTCTTTGGATCCTGGTTTTAGCTGCCTGTCCACCAAACACAGGCCTAGAGGTATGCAATTTGTATTACCTGGGAAATGAGTGCATCTTAAATCGTACTCTCTTCCAGAGCTTATTGGGTGACCTAGGGAACTCACTATCTTTTGCTTCAGGCTTCTAGTCTGGCAGTCTCTTCTCCAGTGTCCACATCCTCTCCTAAAACAGCTTTCCAAAACTCCTCTATGCTTCTAAATTACAGGGGAAAGGGTAGGAAAGAGGGGAAAAAAACCACTTCAAAATACCTGATGGTTTCTTCATGGCTTCTGTTCTCTGTGCTGATGAAGGCTGCATGGATCTCTTTGCTTCTTAGAGCATCTTCCAGGCTAATCTGCTTGACCTCATTAATATTGCCAAAGCTTCTCCTGTGTATTTAGCATAAATACAACCAGAGCATAACTGTCACAGTCCATTCTCCCCAAGTGCATGTAGTGCAACAGCACATAGAAATTGTTCCCATGGATGGCTGTCTCACTGAGCTCAACCGGGGTAAAACAAAGGCAGCCTGTTATCCAGGAAGATCATGAGCACTTACAGACAGAAGTGGAGTGCACAAAAGAACAAAATAGATGGGCCAGTGCGTAGGTGGTGGTATCAATACAGAAACTTCCCTGCTATTGAAGCGTAAAGTGCTTTCTGATTAGTTTTGTTGTTCTGGTTTTAGTAAGCATCATTACAAAAGAACCATTTTAAAAGAATGACTAGAAGGAGGATATTGCTCCTATGGGAGAACTTCTCCCCAACATGCTGAATAACACGGGCCAAACCACTTGAGTCGACAGGGCCACGTGCAACTACACGTATGGACAAGGAGAGGGACAAAGCAGATGCTTGGCTATGATGGCACACACCCCGTGCCAGAGCTAAGGGAAAGGCCTTGGCCACCACCTTGAGCAATCTCCACCTGAAAATGAAACACATGCAACGCCCCCAAAAGCCTTTTACATCAATCAAGACTGGGGCAGACACCTTGATAGTGTTAGGATAGGTGACAGAGGGCATGAGGGTAGGCCACAAGCCAGACCTGAAAGCAAAGATAAATAATGTTTGCATGTGATTGGAATGCAAAGAGCAAGACAACGTATCCAAGCAAGCTGTCTGTGAACCTGTGAACTGTGCATCTTGACAGCACTGTTTCTCAACAGAAGTAGTGAAAACCCTATCTTGAGTGTTGTTTGAGGCTAGCTGTACCACTAGCAAAGACATCAAGGAACCAAGAGTCTATTTGGCAGGGAAATAGACTGGATGACCTAATGGGTCCTCTCAGTCTCAAACAAACATCCCTGACTGCATGATTTAAATATAGCTGGAAAAATACATTCACAGTCGGAGATCCATACATGAACAGCTTAACTATTTAAAACCTTGATGTTATGGGGCAGACAGTCTAGCAGGAATGCTCAGAGGGAGGTATATAAATTTCCATGTCTCCAAGCTAGTGAGAAAAACTCTGGCTCTCTAAGAAGCAACTTTACTGTAGGTACTAAATTAAGGGATTTCCTTTAAAGACACTGTAGGTTCAGTACCTGGTCAAAAAGAAAATAATTAGAATTTTATGATGAAGTTGCATTACTAGGAATGTTACAAACTTCTGTTTTTGTAAAACACACCTTTTTTTAAATGCTGTAAAACTTCTTATGTCTTTCAAACATCTCTACAAATGTCATGCAAACAGCTCATTAGAGTGACTATTGTCTGTATCAGTCTGAACCTACAGGACATCTTAGACAGAACTGCATTTCCTTTTACCACACAGATCCTACAGCATGAACATCTCCCAGCTTTTACTTTAGCAATTTCTGCAAGGTCTCTCACTAAGGTAATCCATTAGTTCCCTCCTGCAAAGCTTTCTGTGCTCATTTCCTAGCTGCCACTCAGAATGACAGGCATATTTGCATACACTTTCCCTGTTCAGACAGCCTTAATTGTAAGAGAAATATAAGACTTCAGATATTAATCCCCTGCCCTCTCAAATAATAGTCCTCCTCATGGAAAGGCATGTGCACCAGAAGAAAGAATCATTACAGTACACATATTAAACATGCTAAGATGACATTTCTAACCTGGACACAAATCCAAAGAGTTTCAGGTGCTCAGAAGGGCTGGAAGGCATCGGATTCATCAAGTCCCGGATTCGTGCTAAGCCAGCGATTCCAACTCCAACCACCACTGTCCCAAACATTTTGTTAATCTGGCCAAAGGGGAAAAAAAAAAGCAACATTTATTGTCTTTTAGTGGGGAGAGAAGCATCTGGGAAGAGAGGAGGGATGGTGGCTTACTCTTAAACCCTGCTTTCATACAGCCAAACCTGATTCAGATGTCAGCAACCAGCTAACAGAGATGTGATGCTACAGGCTACTGAGCTCACTTGCATCCCATTGAGATGTGGTCAAGCGGTTCAGACTGTCACAGGGCTGCTCTTGAGACTTGTATTTAACAGCTATGATATCACAGCTCCAGCACAAAGTTCTTCCTTTCTGTGAATAGAAGGCAGACTTCAAAAGTGAGACATTCTGCTATTTATATCAGCATTTCCATGCTGGAAAGGAGCCAAAAAGTTCTACAAACCCAGCAGAGCTTTATATAAACCCTGCTGACTTCCTGAGCGTCTGCAGCACAGCCTGCCCTGGGCTGCCACACCAACATTCATAGTGCACGGCAGCATAGCTGAAATACTTTGGGACAGGAAGCAAAGAGCGTCTTTTCTTCCCCTGGGTAACCACTGGCATGTCCTACAACGTCAAGATGCAACCAACCATCTGATAATTTGGTCAAGATGTCAGCTTGACATTTCCATGCATGAAGAAAGCTCTGCCATCCCTTTAATGACAAGCAGGCATGTCTTCAAGATTTACATCTCCCAGAAGCGCATTCCTGCCACAATTGCATCATAGAGAGGATGAGCCAGGAATTGCACTTGCTGGACCACTGGTAATAAATTCTCCTGTTGGATTTATGACTTGCCACTGATCTGCAGAAGCACTAGGCAACTGCTGTAACCTTTCAAACCTGCACTGTTCCACCACCCTGAGGACTAGCAACACTTTGTACAGTAATTTTAAGATTTACAGGAAAGCCATCCTAAAACCAAGCCAAGTCAGCCCCACTGCATTTTTTATTCCTTCCATCCTACTACAGCATCCCTTCAGACTCTATTTCTTCTGTTTCAGTGTCCTCCTTCCTGCCACTGCCAATCCCTTCACCTGAGTGAACTCTTTCAATCAGTTCCACTACCTGGCTGCAGCCTTTCAAATCCTCCTAAGACTTAAATGGATAAAAGGACAACCCCACTTCACTCCTCCTTGTGCCTCTTGTCTGACAAGATCACAGCTGTAAGAGACCGTTCTGGCAGTGTTAGAGGTTGACAGCTGCTAAGAAATTACATCAACTGACACCGAGAGAAAAGTTCAAAGAAATCACGTCATTTGGATTTTGTTTTATTATGAGCTCCTGCCTATGTAGATATTCCTGTCAGTGTTGAACTCTGCTTTCTTATACATGCCAAAAGGGTACCAGGGTAAAACACACAGCAGCGTGTTTAATATAAAAGAAGTGAGTGATACTGGAAGAGTTTTCCAGGGGGATTACAGTGACATGGCATTACCAAATATCTGAGGTACAACGTGATGGCACGTTGTAAAAGAAACTTGTAAAAGCCCTCCTTGTAAAAGAAGGAAGGAGAGATGTATAAGGCTGAGAGCGAGCAAGGGGGAAAAGAGAGTAACATAAGCACACAACCCATTTTCACCTCCATCACAGGCAGAGCCCTGGTCTGGGCTTAACTTTCTCTATGGCCGAAGAGACGAGACTTGAGTGTTGCAGAATTATCTTAGCTGGAAGAAACTCCTTGAGGTCACCTGATCCAAAACCCACTCAGTCACACCAGGGTCACACCAAGTTCTGCCTGACCCCACACTGACAGATGTGAATCTGGCAACCTCCCAGGGTCCCTGATGCAGCCTTTGACCACCCTCACAGCAAGAACTTCTTAGTATCTACTTCTTGGTACTAGTAGTGGGATCTAACTTCTTAGTATCTACTCAGAATTCCCTTGATGCTTTTTGCCATTTCAATGCAACAAGCTACACTCTTGCTAATGTAGTCAAGGACAAGGTTAGCCTCTTCTTTGTCAGAAGAGAATGCTGTGGACTGAGGTTCAACTTGTCCACTAGCCTCTGCAGGGCATTTTCTGACTTTCCAGCCAGGCAGTCCTCAACCTGATGCACAGGGTTATTTGCCCCTGGAGAAGGGACTCCATGTTTGCCTCTGTTGAATTCAGGATGCTCCTGTCTGCCGTTTCTCCAGCCTCCCCAGGCATCAGTGGTGCATTGACCACTCCCCCATCTTTGATTTTATCCACAGACTTGCCAAAGCTGCACTCCATCCTATTGTCCAGGTGGCTAATAAGGACATTTAACAGTACTTGCCCTTTTCCAGTCACCAGGAACCTCTCCTGATTGCCAACTGGCTTCACAGTGACATCAACCAAGTCCTTCAGCACCCTTGGATGTACCATGTCTGGTGTCAGGGGCTGCTGTACATTCAATTAGCTCAAGAGCTCTATCACTGTCTGCTGCTACTGTGGGTAATGCTAAATTCCTACAGACAACTGTTAGCAGACTCAGAAACCCAGGAAGTCTGAGGACAGACCTTTACTAGTCAAAGCCACAGCAGAAAAAGGCATTGAGTGCCTTTAATTTCCTTCACCTTGGCCCCACTGAGCTGCAGGCTCAGATTTACTCAGCCTTCTTTTTGTTCCTAGCGCACCCAGAGAAACTTTTCCTGTGGCTCATTTCAGCTTCAGCTGAGCTTTGCCTTTCCCTGCTCTGTCCCTGCAAAGCTTGGTCACTGTCTCTATGTCCCTCCTGGATAGTCCCTCCCAGTTTGTGCACTTCTTGTGTTTGAGCTCGGTCAGGTCCCTGCCAATCCACACCAGCTTTCTGCCATGCATGGATCTGCTTGCAGCACACTGGAGTGAGAAACCTGTGCTCTGGGGAGGTTGTCCCTGCAGATCAACCTCAGCCCCTGTGATCCCCAGGGCAGTCTCCCATAGGATCTTGCCAAGCAGAGCCATCAAAAAGCCAGAGAAATGCTTTTCTAAAGTGTATGGTTGTAATTCTTTAGAGTCATAAAGGGTCCCAGTGTGAATCAGGACCAGTTCAGCAGAGGTTTAGAAGCAGTCCAGCTTGGCAGTAACTGATCATGGGCTTACTTCAAGTTCAGAAATTTTCAAGGTTACTGGAGTGTTAAGCTGTTAATGTTCACCTACTGCCTTTAGCAGGACTGGGAGTGGGAGTCACACAGCAGACAGATTCCCCTGAGCCTCCTACAGTCATCTCATTTCCAAGAACTGCTTGTTTCTCTGGTGATCTGCTGACCTCCTTCTCCAATGAAGTGGAGGATGTGGGGAGCCACCTACCTTCTTGCCATGACCAAAGAGCATCTCTCGGCAGATGCTCGTGTTGCTGAACTTCAACATTTTTGCCTCTCCTTTGAGAAAACTTTCCAAGTTTCACCTGATGACCTCCCCAGAAATCACATTTTAAGAGGGGCAAAATGATTTCAACCTAAACCCAATGACTGTTCTGATGCAACACGTTGTCATGGCAACCAGCCATTCGGTCCAGGTCAAGGTTTGCAGGCTAATACGGTATCCACACGGAAAGAGACAGCTGCTAAATGTACGCTACAGAGCCTTTGCTTTTGCACATAGTGAGGAGAAAAATCGCTATGTCTGCATCCCTGCTGCAGCTTTTTATTACCCTCATTTTGCCCACACAACAAATCCTGCAGCTGCTCAGGGAGAAAAGTAAATTAGGTGGTTTTTGGAACCAGGTAAGAGCAGAACAGAGAATACTCATCTGAAAGTCCAGATGAATATATGAAAATTTACTCCTTACTTCAAACCTCTGCATGAAGATAACAGCAACGTTCTCTTTCAAGTAGGAAAATGATGAAGAAGGAAGCCCAAGCTGTAAACTGCTGTGCCTGTCTTCCATGCTTTTTTTCTTAAAATCAGTGATATTGGTTAAAGCTTTAACAAAATGATTTCAGAGGTGTTTTTAAGGCTGCTGAACTTTGACTCCTGTCATACTGAAAAAAGAAATGTACAGTAAGTGATATAACAGTGCATCAGCCTGCGTCCAAAAGCACTTTTTCCACCTAAGTGGCTGTAGGAAAGTAAAGGGGCTGAGGAGAAGATTGGAAGGGGACATCCTTCATGCTCACAGACTGTGATTGAGGAGTACCTGCCACCACCCAGCATCTACTGGCCTGGCCTGGTTGCATGAAGCTCTGCCAGCCCCACTAAGGGTCCCCTCTGAACTGGGGCATGGTGAGTGCTGGCTGGTGTGGGAGCTCTTTCCCACTGATGGCCAGCACAAAGGGGGTCCTCTTACCCAGGGAGACAAGCCCTGCATGACACAGAAGTAGAGATGAGAAAGGCATCTAGCTGAAGAGGATCATTTATCCTACACTAATACATCATTGTCACATCACCCCTCTGCTCTCTGTTGAGATTTCTGTAACTCTTTGGCTTATTTCCTCCATTGGATGGATCTAGGCTAAAAACCCAAGCAAACAGCTCTATACTCAAATATTCTTGCAAAATTCAGCAGTAAAACAGCAGCAAACCAAGCAATGGAGTATGCCAAAAGGGATCAGTCACCCAGCAAGTGTGTGCCTCCCCAGTACAATCACTATGGGACTTCAGTCCCTACATCTCAAAACCTCTTACCTCACTGAGGTGAGCTTATGGGGAACAAGGCTTACTTCTGTTGTGTGTACTATCACTTAAGGCCAATGCAGAGCCAAGGTAAAAGGCAGAACTGAAGAATTATCTTCCCGTCAAGAAAATTTGTCATGGCCTTTCTAGACATGACAGGTTGAGAACGGGTACACAGAGAATGTCAGTAAGCCTTGTGCATTGTCCCTGCAGTTTTCAAAGTCTCATTCCCACAGAGATGAATGAGTGACTCACATAGAATCAAAATATTTTGCCATTAATGTCACTTGCAATAGCGTAACACTGATGTGGGAGGCTTTCCTGAAGTGCTCCCAGCCTGGTCTTTTTAATTGTGCCACTTCAAGTGACTACTGCTTTACTGCCACATGTATCTTAAGAGTAGCAGGAACCTTACGGATGAGTACTTAATCTGAAAACACTGCTGTCAAGGTTTGTTCATTTTAGCAAACTCAACAGTTGAACCATTTCATTCCCACAGTGATTTTTCAGCAATTCTCTCTCCAACACCCCCTTCTATACCTGTCAGATCTTCGCTTACATTAAATCTATAACTCTACCAAACCTGAGTGCCGACACATCATCATTTCCTTCCTTCTGCTTAAAAATACACCATACAACCCCCACACTCCAGGCAGCCACCTCCCAGTACTCCAAAGAATAAAGGAGAACTCACATGGCTAAGTGCCAGCAAGAGACTGGGATTCTGGGGCTGCTACTGGGCAGACTGGGTGT